GAGCGCAGGAGGTTTGCAGAGACCTCCTTCCTCTGCATCAAAGAGCAGCAGTGCTCACCTGGTAACGTTCAGGTGCACATGGACGCAGTCTTTGGCAGAGATCCACAGGAAGTACGTCTGGCAAGGACAAGAGGAGAAACAAGAAAGCTTAGTTGCAAGAAAATCATCATTCTGAAGCAGGAATCTCTTTCACTTTGTGGCTGTTAGCCCATAGCCCTGGCCATTTCGTATGCTGGCTGTTCTTTCCTTGCTCCTCCTGCCCATTGCCACTGCCTCTGCTCTGCCCATGCCCAAACCCTATTCCCACCTCAGTTGTTGAACTCTTCCGTTGGGGTTGGAGCTTCTTCCCTGGGGCAGATCAGCCATCTCACCTGTACAACCACGAATATTGCTTGCACAATGGGGTACATTATTTTGATTGCAGACAGGCAGCTGTAGAAGCTGGAGTAATATCCTATTTTGAACACGTCCATGACGAGGCTGAAAATGGCAAATAGGATCAGGCCTCCTGTTGAAGAACCAGAACCAAACAGAAGATGTTTGCATGCAGAGGCTAAAGCAGTTGGATGAAAGGAAGAGGATGAACCATTGACATGGAGAGGTTTTATTTCGACCTCAGTTTTCCTTTCCCACCACCCAGGGCATCTTAGCACCACTGGAATCACGTGAAGTATTTCTGGCTGCAAGGGATTTTGGAAAGTCATCCAAGTCATCTCTCTGCTCTGACTGGAGCTAACAGGACTTGCAAGTCCAGGGAGGAACCTGGTATTATAAAGTACCAAGGGCCGTTGTGGATAAAGTGAGACTTGGCAGCTGAGGGTCTCGGAGCAGATAATGCTACTGCCCAGCACAGGGGAAGGTTGTGTCCCTGCTGGTTGTTCCTTCATGTAGTATTTAAAGCTCACGTGAACTGCTTGTAGAACCATAGAATCATTAAGGTTGGAATTGACCTCTAAGATCATCAAGTCCAACCACTGACCCATCCCCACCATGCCTGTTAACCATGTCCCTCAGTGCCACATCACCACGGTTCTTGACATGCTACAGCCTAGATGTGCCATCTTCTCAATGCCTCCTGCATGGATTAAGGAGGAGAAGGATGCATTTCGTAAGTACACACTGCTTGGAGATGAACTATAATAGCTGTACTCAAGGAAGTTTTATGGAGAAGACGTGATTCTTGGGCCTGACGAAATTATGTAAACTGTGAAATTAACTCAGTGCTGTGCTAAACTGGAATTCCCCTGCTAGGGAATGCGTTCAAAACATTTCAAAAGGTTTCAATGAGCATTAGGTCATCTCTGACATCTTGTGGTCTCGCCTCTAGCCCTCACCCCCAAGGTCCTACCTCTCAGCCAGATGGGTCCAGCGTGGGAGTCTTTGCAGAGGATGGCATCTGGGCACCGGGAGGTGCTGACGAGGTAGAAGATAATCCATATGATGACTATCAGCATCATGACAGTCAGCAGGAAAAAGACATCGTAATCATGCACGGCAATTCTCTCAAAAGCCCCACTGCTCACCAGCGTGCAAGCCAGCAGGGCTAAGTGCACGGCCAGCAGGATGGAGAACATGCGGCCACCCTTTTTCCACACCTCCTTGGAGCCTGGAGCGGAGGGCTGGTGGGGCTGTGGGCTGAGGGACATCGTCGGGTTGGAAGCCAGGCTGGCTTTGTTGTCCTTGGATCCGCAGCCCATGCTGGAGTTGGACCGTCTGAGCTCACTGTCCCTCCGCACGGGCTCTTCAGTCATGGTTCAGCTGAGGGGGAATGCTGCTGGGAGGAGAGACCATGAGCACGAGGTCACTTCATTTTGAACAGCCCAGGGCTGGACCAACATGAGACATGGTATGAGGAGGAGAGAACGTGTCAGAGGAACACGAAAGTCTGAGACAGGAGGAGCAAGAAGAGGAATGAGCTTATATTCAAACTGTTTCTTCCCGGTTCCCCTTGCTTAAGATGCTTTTGCATGGGCAGATAACAGGTCTGTTTAACAAAGCAATGCCTAATTTGCCATGCAACGTATATACTGATGTTTGTTGATGTAAGATACTGGAAAGACACCAGAAGAGCACTCCCAAGATCAAATATCCTGGGGCAAACGTCCAATGTGGTTTGACTTCTACATGCCAACCACTAAACGTTCTGAGAAAAAATGTCATGCTGGCTGAGGAGAAGGCCAAGGAAAGGTGAGAAAACCCCGGGAGCCTTCAGAACGTCACGCTGTGGTTTGCAGCAGTTCCCGCAAGAGTGACGTGAGCCATCTCTGCCGGCCCTTCGTGCCAGGCTCAGCACCGCAATTCCCTGCGAAAAGCCTGAAACAAAGCGAAGTGGCTGCTCAAACTGAGCATTGCACCGACCTGCTTTCCTGCCTGGAATCCAATCCCTGCTCTCGCTGGGCTGCTGGAGACGTTTCCCTGTTGCTGCAGCTTGATCAGTCAAAGAATTTATACCCGCTGGGATGTCTCCGTGATTTATACCATGTCTGGAGCTGACAGCAGTGTTTCATGGACTTCTCAGGAAAACTCACATGATCCATTTTGGGCAATTGCTGGTTTTGGGGAAGTATGAGAGATGAGGAGATAAGAGTTATTTACCCGAGGAGGGCATGAGGTGAGAGCACTGCTGAGCATGGCATGACCGCTCGGCCGCAGGGTCACAGCTGCCATAGGCAGAGCAAAGCCACCAAACCGAGCGAATTTCACGGCAGCATCTCTCATCCCTCGAGAGAAGACACTTTAGGTGATGAACTTTTTGCCGACGGCGTTGGGCTTGGTGTTCTGGTTAACTAAGCACAGCAAACACTGTGCCTCACCCTGTGCCATTCCCGTCAGCGTGCTCCCAGCCTGCCCCGCACAGGAATGTTTTTAAGGAAAAAGAAGAAATTTGTGTTTGTATCTTTTCGTTGCCAAGGGCAGCTCAGTATCGCCCCACGACGCCCATGAGGAGGAAGGTTTAGCACCAAAGCGGAGCAGCATTTGGGGACGGGAATCTCTGCTCCCCTCTGGCGACCCGCTGCCTTTCAGGCTGGGATCGCGTTTCGCTGCCCGCTGGGAGCTTTTCCTCTCCCATTTCAAGGAGAAACGAGCAGCTGGGATGGGAGCAGGCTGGGGCGGGCAGGAGCCTTCAGTGGGGCTCCGTGTGACTTTACTGTTACATTTCAGCACGGAGACGAGGAGACGCAGCGCAGAGCGACTTTCGTTCCTCGAGAAGAAAACCTCCCCGGCAGATTTCCTTTCCTGCCGCAGCGCACACGGCGCTGCCGCTCCCCTGCTGCCACCCACCGGCTGCCACCGCACCCCGCGGCCGTGCCGAGCGGGGCCGTTCGCAGCCCGCAGCCCCCCGGGGCGGCCCGGACCGGCACGGCGAGCGGGAGCTGCGCGTGGTGCGTTCTGCCTTCAGAGAGCGCGGAGGGGTCGGAGCTGAAGGCACCGCTTTGTCGCCGCGCCGTGGGCTGCCCCCCGCTGGGACGGTGAGGTCCAACTCCTGGCTCCATGTAGGACCGCCTAAAAATCGGTCCGTGGATGTGGACCCACTGGTCCAGATGACTTTTCAGCTGCTTTCTACTGATCCCTCCTGGTTTTATTTGGGGACTCAATACTAAGCGGCTGCTTATGAGATGCACTGCCTCATGGCAAGAAAACCCCTGGCTGGCAGTTAGCAGAGGGGACCACTGGAGCATTTGCAGCTGGGCTGCCCAGAAGAGGGCAGGGAGCAAGAAGGGCTCGCACAGTTCTCCATATACACTGTGCTCACCTTGTCCAGAGCCTCCGCACAGCATATGGGCACTGCAGACAAATCACAGAATCAGAGAATGGTGGAAAAGGACCACAGTGATCATCTCGTTCCAACCCCTCTGCCACGGGCAGGGTGACCAACCACCAGATCAGGCTGCCCAGAGCCACATCCATCCTAGCCTTGAATGCCTGCAGGGACAGTGCAGCATGCAAGGAGCTGCACTGACAGCGGAAACAGAGGAAGGAGCGTTTCCTGCCTTGGGCAACACTCTTGGTCTCCCGTGGGAGCCACCACAGAGCATGGTAATAACAAGCGTAGCGAGTAATAGTGCAGGAATCATTAAATGACCTCAGTAATGAATTGCAGGCATTACTAGGCTGCTTTTCACCTGAAGGATCCCGGCAGCGAATAGCTCTGTGTGCGGTGCATCCATGACGGATGGCTGAGCAGTAGAGGACCTGCGGGTGGGACTCAGTGCCGTCACCCCAGGCTCAATCACTGCACCTGGCGCTGCTCTGGGCTGCCCTCCCTTCCTCTCCCTGCTCCCAGCCCATCCCCTGCCACCCCTGGAGCCGGGCACGAGGCCGGCAGAGAACCCTGCTGCCATAGGGCACTGCTGAGGCTCAGCATGGAGAGGAGCAGGAAATTCCTCCTCCCTGATGGTGTGGCCCAGGGGTTAGGATTCACTGGGTGATACAATGCACTGCCACAGCCACGTGCCTTGGGCAACATCCGGGCTCATCTTGGCACCTCCTAACAGCAGAGGGTGCCCCGGGCCTGGGAATCCTGTGAGAGCAGATTCCCTGGCACTGAGCAGCTCCCCGCAGAAATTTGGTGTCAGCATGAAAGGTGTTGGAGGACTCATGTTGCCTCTCCAACATGTCGTGGCAGAGGTACTCAGACACAAGCAGGGATGGTTGTGGGGTCCCTGTGTCCCTGCTGTGATGGGGCTGAGCCCTCACTGCTGCTTCATCAGCTCCTGCTGACAGTGTTGAGGTCAGGTGCATGGGGCGTCAGGCAGGGTTCAGCCCGTGACACCTTCTGCCTGCTCTGTTCTGAATGTCTCCTTGCCAGGTCTGAATGTCTCCTGTCTCAGGATGACCCCACATCCACAGCACTTGGCTGAGCCTGGTGCAGCAATGCTGCTTAATTGAAGCTTCCGCTGTGCTGCGGAGCCGGCGGAGGTGCTGGGGGGTGTTTAGGACCCAGGGGAAGCCCTAGAGAGCGTGGCTGGGTTGGAAGGAGTCCCGGAGTCCCTGCCTCCCTGCCTGCGCTTCTCAGGTGTCCTGCTAAGGGCAGAGCTGCACGAGGTGACGGGGCCCTTCTGGCAGCTCCCCTTCCCCATGCCCGCTCCCTGAGCCCCCTGTGCACCCATGTGCTCACCCGGGAGTCGCTGCGCACCATGAATGACCAGTACCACCGAGCAGCCCGGGATGGCTACCTGGACCTGCTGAAGGAAGCCACCAAGAAGGACCTGAACTCGCCGGACGAGGATGGCATGACCCCCACCCTGTGGGCCGCCTACCATGGCAACCTGGACGCCCTGCGCCTCATTGTCAGCAGAGGGTGAGTGCTGGAGGGTGCGCGGTTCCCTGCGGCACAGTGGTGCGAACCACGGCTTTCCCCCCTCCCTGTGCAGCTGTCCTACAAAGTGGTGGTTGCTGTCCATATCACCTTCACTCCTGTCCCCTCCTTGTCGTTTTTCTCTCCTTGTTGTTTTTCTCTGCCCGCTCTGGATTTTCCCAGCTTCTCTGGCCCTATAACCAACCCTTTGCTCTGTAGCTCCCAGGTAGGACTGTATCCCCCTGTGGGAGCCCTGAGTCAGGTCCTATAAGGACAGGTAGAGCCAAAACATTGGGTCACTGCCGCAAAGCCAGCCCTTCTGAATGAGGGGACAGAGGCAACGAGTACTCCTTCTGTCCCACAAAATGCTCAACTCAGATGGAGGAGGGATGTGTGCTGTGCCAGCTGGCAGCGGGTGATGCTTGCCTGTCCTACCCAAAGCGGGGTCGGGACGTGCCCCACCAGCAGCCTGCTTTGCACCTGGAACTCAGGAAACCGAGGAGCAGATGACCCAGGGGCAGATTTAAGTCCACCCAAGCAGGTTTGCAGGGGCTGCCAAGTCTGAGGGTTGCTGGTGTAGATGCACAGAGGAGGGACTTGGTACCAGAAGGTACCAGAGGTACCTTTGTGCCTTGTTGTAGGGGTGAAGCTGTGCAAGGTCTGTGCTAGAGCAAGGTGTGCTGCATCTGATTCATAGAATAGATAGATTTCTTCCTGTTTTCCCCTGTTCTCCCTCACTTCTCCCTCACCTCCTCCAGGAGCACATGTCAGTATTCATTCTGCATAGCTTTGCTGAACATCTCATCTGAAGGCACCTGTCAGCTCCCAGGATGGCACTTCCCTGCTTGCACCCACCCTGGGCTGTGTTTGCTCTCTTGCATGTGATCAGCCACATCTCTGCTGTTCCTGATTTGGGCTCAACGTCTCCGGATGCTTTGGTCCACTTCAGCCCAAGGGCTGCGTTCACAGGCAGAGCTCTATCACACTCTACAGCCCTTCCATTATAAAGCATTTTCTCTTCAAATTCAGAGCCAGAAGGGCTGTGTACATCCATTTTGAGAAGCCCTTTGGTGCCCGGCACAACAGAGGAAAGCTCAGGATGGAATGTCCACTGGGGAGAGGGCAGTGCTGTGCTCTGAGAACAGAACCCAGGAGGGGATGCCCTGGGCTGCCACTAGGCTGGGCACATACTGCTGCTGGAAAGGATTCCGAAGGCTCTGACAGTCAGGAGCCTTGCTGGAGGATGGGTCCAAAGCCTGCCTGGTGCTGACCCACATATCCGTGCCCTCCACCAAGCTCAAGGGTTACACTTCTGCACGGGAGCCTCTTTTATAGATTCACATTAAATTAAATCCTGCTGGATGTGTCTGAGTGCAGCTCGGCTGCTGTTTAATTAATGGTCTAATATACATTTGCTGCTGACAGGGAAAATAGCACGGCAGAGAGATGGTGCCCTTTAGGTGATGGATGGCAGGGCAAAACAGGCATCCTTCTCTGCATGCCCAGCACCACACACAGAGCAGCAAAACCTCCTCACCCCTCCATCCTGTGCTGAGGAACAGACAAACTTCCAGCTAGGAGTGCTGGGGGGGGGGGAAAGAGCAAGGGGAGATTTGGGATCCTGGGGGCACCTGAGAGTGCCCAGTGCCCCAAACCAGTGTTGGGCAGTGGAGAGATGCTGCAGTGGACCGTTGCCTCAGTGCCACTGCTGGAGGGGATGGGGACAGCAGTGCTCATCCTTCTTGTTAGCGACACAAAAAGCCTTTTTGTTCTTCCTGGCTGGGCTCCGGCAAAGGAAAAAAACCTCAATTAACACAATGGATGGGAAAAGAGGCTGGCTGGCATTTAGTGCTGCAGATTTTCAGAGGAGGTCATTCTTCAGCACGGTCTGTTAGGCACTGCTGTGGCAGTGATGGGTGTCAGTCCAGCTCCAGATCTCCAGGAGCTGAGGGGCTCTGCCAGGAGCACCTCCTTGGCTTGGGGGAGCCCACAGAGCTGTGGGTACATCTTTCTGCTGTGCAGATCCACAGGCAGTGCTGTGCGTTGTGGCAGTGGGGGGCTCAGGGCTGCAGCCTGGGGGGGAGCACAGGAGTGGGATGGGGCGCGATCAGCGCCGCAGACAGCCCTGAGCTGAACCTCACCTGGAGCATCTGGTGCTGGGCTGTGTGGAACCTGAACTCGTTGGACAAAAGCTGAATCCCTGACTCAGCAAAGCTTACAGTGCAGCACCTCGGGCTCTGTGCTGGGTCCCAAGCTCATTTTTCTGCTCATTTCTAAGCTTTGCTTACATCATTGCCCTGAAGCTACTTGGTTTTTCCTCAAGCCATGGATGATTTTCTGCCCTCACTACAAAATACCGTCACGTGCTTTGCAGAACCCAGGGTTGCTCTGCATCCCAGCCAGAGGCCCCACTCCTTCCCACACCTGAGTGAGCCGTGAGCCAGCCCCTTGCTATGGAGGAACTCTGCGCATGTGGCCAGGGGAGGACGTGTGTAAGTGCCGGATCCCGGGCTAATTGGGGTCCCAGGGGAGAAGTGGAAGGGGAAAACCGGCAGGAAGGGAGTGAGCGTGCGTGTCATGGGGAGAACGCGGTGACTCAGGAGATGCACACATCCACCCAAGGAGCTCAATTAACAGCATTTTTAATAGTGATGATTATGGGAGTTGACTCAGCACTCAAAAACACTTTGAAGCTGAGAAGCACTGTGCTTCACACCTGTTATTAAAATGTGTTCCCACTTAGTGGACCCTGCAGTCAGCATCTGCAGATGCGCGGTGCCCTGGAGGGGAAGTTTTGGGCAGACGGGCACCCACCGGGGGGAGGGCTCGTTATTATCCAGATCAAACACGTCTACTTTGCGCGTCAGCATTGCTCCTTCCTTGTTTTTAGTGCCTCTGGCAGACATGTATGGGACAAAGTGACCTAGGGATATAATTCTGCACTATAAGTTTTGCTTCTAGCCAGGGGAAATGTCCTGAAAAAGCTGGGTTTGGTGCTCTTTCCCCTCGTTTATTCTCAGAGGCAATGAAACGATGAGCAAAGTAAACCTTCGGACTGAATCGCCCAGGAGCTTTCTGGCTTTGCTCTTTGCCACCAAGTGGACGTGAGAGGTACATTATGGTGAAGCATCCATGCAGCTTGCCTTGGGCATCAAAGCTGATCCATCTGAGCCCACTGCCGAGTGCCCATCCGAATCACAGATCCCCATACGTGTCCGGCCCCTCTCGTGCCCTTGGACCCCACCACCAGCCCCAGCAGTTCCAGTTTCGCTGGCTCTTTAATCCAGCTGCATCAATAATTTACTCCTCTCTTGCAAATCATCAAATATTTATCCTGCCCATGAATTTCCCAGCCTGGACATGTCACTACAGGGGTGGGAGGGAGGGCTGGGGTGTTACTGCTCCTGGGAGCTCGGTGTTGCTGCAGGACCTCTCCTGGTGCCTTGATGGCTCCCCCAGCCCCGCAGCCTCCCCATCCTCCTCCTCTCAGCCCCCTCATCTTTGCAGCCTTTTTCTGCTTCTATGAGAGATGTCAAAAGCTCTGAATACATAAATCCTGTAGGGTTTGTGGCGGTCAGTTCCCTTACACAGTTCTGAGCCTTTTGACCAGCTGCTGCTTAATGGGGACCTCGTGCTGAAGGGACAGTGCTGGGTTCCTATGGAGCCCGTGGGGAAGGGCGGAGGGGAGTGGGGCAGGAGCTGCATGGAGCCATGCAGCCCTCACAGAAAGCTTTGCCTTATCCATGCTCGTGAAGGAGAGTGCTCTGTTGACAGATACTGCTGGCTGCATATCATTAGCACACACGCTCGAGTGAAAGCTGGTGCCAGCAGTGGTATGAGCCATCTCTCATTTCAGCTGATCATAGATACAGGGGAATGGCAGAAGGATGAAAGTCTCCCAAATCCTATTTGTGTTTGTCCCATCAAGGGAGGCAGGAGGTGTGGGCAAGTTGTGCCCCAGCAGCGCAGCTGGGATGGGGCACAATGTGGGAAGAGACGTTCATGGCATTAATCACGTGTCCAACTCTTGAGGAGTGCAGAAACCTTATCTGCACTTTCTCTGAAACTGGATTCTTAGGATGCGCTCGTACCAACGCGCAATCGAAACCATGCGTGGTATGGCAACCCCCCCAGAACCCAACCTCGAGGCAGTGCCACAGCCTTGCCCTCGTCCCCTCCTGAAGTCGTGCCCTCTGCTGCTCTGGGTTCCCCTGGCACAGATAGCAAAGAGGTGCAAAGGTGCAGCGCAGTGCTCAGAGCCTGTGCTGAGGATGGGGTGACCCTTTTGTGGTGGTGTTCCTATTGTGGTGGGATGACGTGGAGTCCCATTTAAGTTGTGGTGTATGGAGGGGCATTTTGGGATGTCTCTCTGTGCAATCTGAATGAAGATTTGAAGATGGCAGCTGAATAATGCCTAGTGGTATGTTTGAGGTTGGAAACTCTGAGGCCTGAGCTGGAATCAGCCTTTCATCTCAGTTCTGGGCTAATCAGAACCTGGCCTGTCTTGCTCCAAAAGCTGGTTTGATGCAGGAACACGAACCTCCTGAGAGCTAAATTCAAGTCATGGGAATTACTGTGGGTCTGTCTGTCAGGCACATGATTCCACGGCGTTGCATACCCCATCAAAAGACTTAAAACCAGGCTGTGGGAAATGAGAAAAAGATTCTTGTGCAGGTAGTGCTTCGCCCTGCATGCCTTCAATATCTCATTCTTTAGGACATCTCTCAGCAGTCTGTCCATCGAGGCAGCATGCTAACCACTTCTTTTCCTTGCTGTCTAGGGGGGATCCAGACAAATGCGACATCTGGGGGAACACGCCTCTTCACCTGGCGGCAGCCAACGGCCACCTGAACTGCCTTTCCTTCCTCATCTCTTTTGGGGCCAACATCTGGTGCCTGGACAACGACTACCACACCCCGCTGGACATGGCAGCCATGAAGGGGCACATGGAGTGCGTGCGCTACCTGGACTCCATCGCTGCGAAGCAGAGCAGCCTCAACCCCAAGCTGGTGAGCAAGCTGAAGGACAAGGCGTTCCGGGACGCCGAGCGGAGGATCAAGGACTGCGTGAAGCTGCAGAAGAAGCACCACGAAAGGATGGAGAAAAGGTACAGAAAGGAAATGTTGGATAACTCAGACACCATGAGCTTCTCCAGCTATGCCAGTAGCACCTTAAGCAAGAAGTTCCAACACATGTCCATGGTGACCTCTCTGCCATACTCACAAGCCACCATCCACGGCACAGCCAAGGGAAAGACGAAAATACAGAAGAAGCTGGAGAAGAAGAAGCAGGTGGACGGGACGTTCAAAATCTACGAGGACGGGAGGAAAAGCGTGCGGTCCCTGTCCGGCCTGCAGCTGGGGAACGACGTCATGTTTGTGAAGCAGGGCACATACGCCAGCCCCAAGGAGTGGACTCGGCGGAATATCCGGGACATGTTCCTCACCGACGAGGACACCGTCTCCCGTGCCATAAGCGACCCGGGGCTGCACATGGACTCGGCCCACTCAGAAGTCAGCACCGACTCCGGCCACGAGTCCCTGTTCAACCGCCCCGGCTTGGGCACCATGGTGTTCCGGCGCAACTACGTCAGCGGCGGGCTCTTCGGCATCGGCCGCGAGGACGCCGGCGTGCCGGGGGAAGGCGGCGCGGATGGGCTGGGTGTCAAACTGCGCAGCCGCCTGCAGCGCTCGCCAAGTCTCAACGACAGCATTGGCAGTGCCAACAGCCTGCAGGAGAGGAACGCGGAGGAGCTGCCCTGGGACGAGCTGGAGCTGGGCCTCGATGACGATGACGAACCAGACACCAGCCCCCTGGAGACCTTCCTGGCCTCCCTGCACATGTTTGAGTTCATCTCTATCTTGAAGAAGGAAAAGATCGACTTGGAGGCCCTCATGCTATGTTCAGACAGTGACCTGAAGAGTATCAACATCCCATTGGGCCCCAGGAAAAAGATTGTGGATGCCATCCAGAGGAGACGGCAGACTCTGGAGAGGCCAGACGTTATTGTAGACACTGAACTGTAAGTAGGAGATGGGGCCACCGAGCGATTAAACCTTTCAGCGGGTGGAGATTTGGATAATGTAAGGTCTGCTTTTCAACTCACTTGGAAAAGCAGGAGTCCAGGTAACCTCAGTGCTTCTGTGTGTGAGCAAATTCCTGCTTGTGTGGAAATGATGAGAGTTCAGAGAGGTGGCAATAGCATTAGTTCATTACTCAACAGCCCTTGTGGCTGGGCAGGATGTGAAGTCCTTGCTTTGTTTCATAACCTTTATGAATGCAGACTGCTCTGTGGTCTGATGCTTCTGAGTCCCCTAGCTAGGATTTCCAGCCACACGCTTGCCTTGACTCTTCACCTTTTGAAAGAAGTAATGGTGGTTCCCGGTGGGAGCCGGCTGAGCGCAGCGCCCAGTGCCACTCGCAGTCCTTCCCCAAGAGCTTCAGATCTTCAGAGATCTTGGAGATTGCATTATCTGGGTTGGAGCTGTTACTTTATGGCCTTTCCAGAGTTTGTTTGGCTTGGTCTGAAGGCCTGCATGCTTGCCATTGAGGTGAACTGAAGTTATTAGCATGGTGTCCCCGCTGTCACATCTGCTGACACCCCAACCACTGTGCTCCTTTTGCTTCCCATCCTTCATGGATCTGTGTGTTTCTTCCTCGTTTTTCTGGCTTCCAGCACAGCTCAGTCTTGGACCTCCAGGGTGCTGACAGGCTTTTCTCTTTCCTTTTGCAGATAGCAGCAGCAGCATTTTACTGTTTTGGTTTTTTTTATTTTTTTATTTTTTATTTTTTAAATGAAACAAACCCAGTTCTAAGTTGCCAGAAATCACAAGCCAGAGACTCTCTTCCTGGGGCAGCTGAAAGCTGCAGCCGTCCCCGTCCACCCCTGTGCCCTGCCCTCCTGTTCCCCCATTCTGCTCCATCCGCGAGATGCTCCCAGCGGTACCCGATGGAGGATGGCTGCTGGGATGGGACCAGGCAGCTGCCACCCCCTCCGCTCACCAGAGGAATGCGTGGGGGCTTGAGAGCACACGAAGCCATGAAAGGAAGGAGCAGTGTGATGGTATTTTCCAAGGGACCCAAAATAAACAATCACATCTGTTCTTTCTTGAGCAAGTGGTTGATTTGGGGCACTGGGTAGAGGAGTGGGGAGCTGTGGAGCTGTCTCCTGGTCCTCCATTGCTTCGGTCCATTGTTTGATGCTGTGGTTTGGAAGGGAGTTTTGGTTACCCTGGTTTGGGGCTGTTCAGCTTGAGACTTGCCAGCCCTGCTTTCTGCCAGTGGAGCTCAGCGTGTCCATGAGACTGACCTGTGCTGTGGTCTGTGATGATCTGAAATGAAGATGCTGTTTTGTTGGGTTGTTGCCTGTTGCAACATGGGCAATGTGTCTGTCCTGTCCTTGCAGGACAGGAACTGAGCCTGGAATTTCACCCAGAACTTCCCAGGCCTGGGGGCAGCACCTGTGGGCATCACAGCTGGGTGCAGCGGGGCCCGGTCCGAGCATCCCAATGCACGGCTGCCCAGCTCCCGGCGTCACGGCTCCCAGTGTCACAGCTCCCTCTGCTGGGTCCGGCCCGGGAAGCGCGATGGGCCGCGCCGCGGAGGCACGGAGTGGCTGCTGTCAGGCTGTAGGAACACAAAGATCCGCTCTCCCGACCTGGCTCTCCTCCAGAGAGCTGCTGGGAAGGCTGAGCCGAAGAGCGATGTGCCGCCCAGAGCCGCGGGACAGACAGGTCCCAGGAAGCCCCCAGGTTTGCCGTGCTCAGAGACCAACGCGGTCACCTCTACAGCTGCAGAGACAGACCAAACCCGAGCGCTGACACGGATGCTCTCTGAGCTCTGCTCTGTGGTGTTTGGCCATGGCTTCTCGATTTCCCACCGTGCCATTCCCCACAGCCCTGCAGGGCAGGATGCTCCATGTCCCGCGATCCTGCAGCAGGCAGCTCGCCCTGGATTGCTGCATCCCGCAAGGCTGGGGATGGAGCTGAGCTTTGCTCATCCCTGGGATGCGGGGATGTGGCTGTCCCCCATCCCCTGGCACAGCCAGGCCCTGGCAGGTAAATCTCACCGCTATGAATTGCATCTCCTCTGTGACCAAGATCAACAAGCTCCTTTTGGAGTGGTTCTTGTGAAAGCAGGGTGGAGGCCAAGGCTGGCACACCCTGGAGAACACCCGTCCATACCCTCCCAAACAGAAACCCAGGCAGCAGGTGGGTTGTCCTGGCCCCATGCTGCCTGCAAGCAAACACCAGCCACTGCAGCTGGGGTGACCAGACCCAGCTGGGAACCTTTATGCCCTAAGTCCTAAATGCCAGCCCTCCTTGTGCTGCTCTCCATGCTAAATCAGCAAAAACAAGTCCCTGTGTTTGGACCCTGTGTTTCCCTACCCCGATGGTGCAGAAGATGCAGCATCCCTGATTCCCAGGTACCACAATGGAAGCCAGGAGAGGCCCACGGCTGGAGGTGACCCCTGGAGGCCAGGCAGCAGCAGCACTCAGCCCACAGCCCTGTGTTATGCTCCACACTGGGAGCCAGTGACCGACAGCAGTGCCAGGCAGAGGGTGGCACTGGGGTCAGTGACCTGCCAGGCCAGCGTGCACCATTGCACACCATTTGCTTAACAATTTCCTGCCCATCCTGCTGGGAATTTACTTCCTGGCTGGGCAGCTGAGTAACATGGTGTGCAGACAGGAGGGGACGGCCAGGATGGAGGCAGCACTGAGGGGGGTCAACACAGAACACCTTCTGCACTCAGCTTTGCTCCCATCAAAGCACAGGCCTGGATGTGGCCCCAAATGCCACCCTCTTGCTGGAGCTGGGTTTGGCCCTGCAGGTGCTGGGGTTGCACCTATGAGCATGAACACAGTAAACTATTTTCTAGGTCTGCTTCACACAATTCGTAAATGCTAACATGGGTTCTCCCTCTGAGTGAGCTCCCCAGTAGTGCTGTTCCCAGATTGCTCTGGAGGAGCCCTGAGGAACGGCACGGAGCATCCTGGGGAAGCGGGGCACAGCACTGGGTAGAGCAGTGTGCGATCCCAGCACCTCTCCTCATGGCCAGAGCAGGGCTGACAGCACTGGTTGTAGGTGGGTGCAGCCTGAACTTGCTGCCTTGCAGAGGAGAGCATGGGAACCCAGCTGTAAGCACGTGCCTGATCTGAGATTTTCAGCTTTGCTGTGGCAATGGCAGCACGTGTTTGCTCTGCGGCTGTGGAGTTGTGGTTGTGATTGCTTTTCTCAGTCCCCATGGTGGTGGTACACAGCTGTTTCTGCAGAAGCATACGAGGCTGGTGGGGGGTTGCAGGGAATTCTTTAACATTTTAAGATGTACTTCAGCAGCAAGTAGAAACAATTTTCCCCAGTGCAGCACACCAAGCTCCAACTTGCATTGCATTGCCTGGTGCCAGCGGGAAGATCACCTCCCAGCTCTCCCTGTCCCCCATTGCAGTCCCTGGGACCCCTGCCCTGCTCAGGGACCCGCGCCCTGGAGGAGGTGCAAGGATGGGTCAGGCTGGGTTCAACACCCCTTTGCTTCCATCCCATTGTCTCACTGGAGCTTGCCTGGTCCGGCCGCATTGCAGCCAAACCCAGTGTGTTTGTGGGTGCTGCCCCAGCCAGCTCAGGCTGTATTTTGGGAATGCTGCCTCTGTGTATCCCCATCCCGGTGCACACGGGTGGCAGGCGCAGGAGAGAAATGCAGAGGAGAGTGGGGCAAAAATCCTGAATGGGGCAGAGGAAGGATCCTGGCTCCTATCCTAGGCACTGTGTTCAGCCTTTCCCAGACGACCCCAGTCTTTGCCCCACTCCCAGTCCCCAGCACTGGCACCAAGTGCTCAGGCAGCCCCACGGCCTTGTTGCAGCCCAGCTCCATGGCATGGAGGTTGGTCCTCCAGAACCCACCTCCCCACAGCGGGGGTCTCCAAGCACAAAGAATCTGTACAATTCTGGACAAAGAGCCGCAGCAAAGACACCCAGGTGGGGACACGCACGAGGCGGCCGCTCACTGTCTGAGCCGCTACGTCCAGCCCCATCCCAGCTCAATAACAGAGCTAACGAGAGCCGCTGTCAACAAGCCCATAGCTCCCAACCTGCGCAGGGAAGGGCGAATGAAAGCACCGTGCTCGAGGGACGGAGGAGGAGAAACCTGTTTCACTGACCTTGCTCCATCCCTGGCGTCCTGGCACTGCTGCGGCCGTGTCGAGGTGCGGGGCTGCAGGCGCGGGCAGCTCCGATGCCCTTAGGGGTGGCACTGGGGGCAGCGGGGCTGCATGGCCGGCGGTCGGGGATTTGAGGACGTGGGGCCACGAGGCGAGAGGGCGAGACCCTGATGGGCCGATGCTGCGCCTCGGCTGTGCCTTCGCCTGCCTGGGAGCCTCGCTCCACCCCTCAGCTGCTAATAAAGCCTCCGCCGCACCGGTCCCTCCTTTGGCACTGACTCACCGGCTGACCCAGCCCAATCCCTTACCTGCCCTGCACCTCCATTTTCTGACCTACAAACCAGGGCTGGTCCCCACCACTCTTACATAAGGGAGTCGGGTGCAAACCATGCAGTGCTTTGCATCCCATGAGAGACCATCAAAAGGCCCAGGGGACAACAGCAGATGCCCAGCAGCAATGCCCTGAGCTCAGCCACTCATGCTAACACATGCATGGATCCTGAGCGTGTGCTCCATGCATCCCGCACAGCCCCTTAGCAAGCTGTGAACTGATTGCCCACTGCACCTCCAGGCAAAGATCTCAATGGCAGTTTTCCATATAGTTCATGGCTGGGAAGGGGAAGTGAGAGGATGTGTGCTGTTCTTGGCACTGTGTCCCACCCAGTGCAGAATGCCTTTGCCCTGCTGCCCCAGCACCCCGTAACCCATGTGTGGGTCTGAAAAACATGCAGGGTCCCAGGGTTTCCATGCTTGAGGAAGATGCCAGCTCAGTATCCCCATACCAAAGTTTCTTAAATTAAAAATAGAAAAGAAATTAAATACTGAATTAAGACATCCTTGTTTTTCTTTTGTGCTTTCAGAAGACACCAGGGATGGCTGCTGGTTTGTGTGTGCCCTGAGAGGGAAGGCACCTTTCTCCTGACCCAGTGGGGATTGGATGTCCCATGCGCACCCCATGGAGGTGCATTTAGGGATCCTTAGGGTGTGGGACTGTGAGTGCTGGGCCCTGGGAGCTGCTGTGGTGCTGCCACAGGCAGGAGGCAGGAGCTGGCCAGGTGCCTTCTGATGTAAGAGGTTACAGTGTAGGCAGGATACCGGCAGCAGTGCCAGCGTGTGTGTGACCACAGCTCTGCTCCTGCTCTGGGGCAGAGCCTGCGAGGGCTGAGCAGCCCCTGGGGCTCAGAGCCATCCCAAAGGGATGTGTGGGATGACCAAAGAGTGGCTTTGGTGGGAGGTGTGGTGTGGTGTTCCCAAGAGCCACTCCTGGGAGTAGCAGATGTGGGGGACAGCAGGGTCCTGGCTGGGGGCTGGAGGCTCTGCTTTGAGCAAGGGGATGAGTGATGGCGCAGAAGCGTGAGCACAATGCTGGGATGTGGCCCTGAGCCCCGCTCACAGCTCCAGGAAGGCATCCACACCTTGGCCAGCGGTCATCGCCTCCTGGCATGCAGGCAATAGATCAGCCCCAAGTATTCGAGGCAGCCAGCCCAGGGCATTACTCACCCAGCCCACGGCTTCACTTGGCTCCCTGGGCAGGAGCACGATGGGCTCAGTCTGCCTTGTCCTGGCCAGGACCAGTGCCATGACTGGGGATGTGTCCCCAGCACGGACTGGTTTCACCCGTGTGTGACGTGGGTGCTGTGGGTGCCTCCAGGGAGGCTTCGGGCTGCTGGGGAGTGAGTGGGTCCTGGATCTGAGGGCTGAATGAAAGCACCGTTTTAACGCTGTCCTTCCCCTGAATTGCTGGGAATGGAGCAACACGGAATGAAGAGGGGGCACGACAGTCTGGTGTCTGGGAGAAACAGAGGTGATGGGGATGGCGTTTGGCATAATGTGCAGCATTCATCCTTCTGGATTTTATGGAAGCAGTTTTCTCATGATTTGAAGCTGATGGATAGATCTTCGGTGACGCACTTGGCTTCCCTGGGGTGGTCCATGGCTCAGCTCCCTGAGCAGCCTGAGTTTTACGTATTCACTGGAAACTTCCCATCACCTCCACAAGTTCAGCTTCACCCCTTTTTCCAACAGAACTCACCCCTTAGTCACTGCCCTCCCAGCAAATCGCCCTGCTTCCCAAGGACATCACCTACACTGTGCCGGAAGGCAATATCGTGCTCAGGAATAGGGCTGGGGGCGGGCAGCGGAGCCGTTCCCAGAACTGCCTCCAGCCTTTATCGGTAAAGCCCCTATCAGCTCCGTGCCATACCCGTGCCCAGCTCCAGCTGGCTGCAGCCCAGCAGGGCTGTGGCCGTGGGTCAGCTCCTGTGCTTACCGGCAGATGTGGTGTGTGGGGTGGCACTGGCTGCCCGCAGGCTCCCTGTGCCGACGTCCCCGTGTGAGCCCGCAGTGCTTCGGGGCAGTGCCAGCAGTGACGCTCGCCCCGCCGCCACACTGTGGGAGGTCAGGCTTATCTGCGTCGCTTGGCTCATTGTTGATTGTTCTTTCTCCCATTCAGGAAGAAAGGAAAAAAATATCTGATGATTTTTTTCCTTGCTATTCAATTCTCTCTTTCCACCATCCAGCTGCCCCAGCACTCGGGCTTGGTTCAGGGCCGAGCCTTCATCCCTTTTGCACATAGGTTCCTGCAGCCCCTTTCCCCCTGTGCCCTCCAGCTGGAAGGCTCTCAGAATCCAAGGGTGCAGACCATTCAAGCCTGCTGCATTGCCGTGCTCCCATGGCATCGTATTGGCTGCGCTGTTGAGGTTGGTGTGGAGGTTGCGGTCCCCAGGCTGGCATGGCAGCCAGCAATACCTGCTCCCGCCACCCACAGTGTAGCCCTAACCTGGTTTCTATTCTGAGCCCTATTTCTTTTCCTGGGCCTCCTCCCTCTTTTGCTTTGCCCCACTTGGCCTTCCCGCAGCCAAGTGCTTGAGCATGGCAGCTGCAGCTGACCCCGATCCCAGCCAGCTCTGGATGAAGCCAGAGGTATAATCCAGCGACAGTGCTGCCTGGGTCAGGGTGGCTCCCAGTTCCTGAGGCTGGGATTAGCGCACAGCAACTTGCATTTGCCTGCAACAGCTCTAGGGGGAAAGCTAGAGAACTGGGGCTGGGGAGAATGAGCAGCTTTGCAACCCTAGTTGCAAAATTTAGCAGTTCTGTGTTGTTCATGTATTCCTACAAGCTACAAAACATGGGAGCTGGGATGTCTCCTTCACTCTGCACAGGGCTGGGCCTGCAGCCGAGGCTTCCCCACAGCTTCCTGCAGGCTCTCCCAGATGTTCCTGCAGAGCACTGGGACCCAGAGCACCACTGCTCCAAAGCTGTCATTAGAATTGTCCCTGTTTTTCCAAGCTAACTGGTTGTATGGGTCTGGCTGTGCTGATGAAATCGCTGCCAGCCCGTGCATGAGTTATCCCTATGGCTGGCAAAGTGCATCTGAGCACCCACATTAAACACAGCCAGCTCCGGTGGGCTGTCCCTGCCCCAAAATCTGGGCTGCTCCATGGAAAGATGGGCTGGGAGCACTTCAGCCCAGTTCTCCGTTTTGCTGAGATGGACAAGTCTTGTAGGCTGTTGGCTGCTTGCATTCCCAGAGCTGTCAGCGGGCAGAGCAGGGGGTTGACAGCAGCCCCTCTTCCCTGCCCTGTTACCTTGACTGTTGCCTTCCCTCGGTGGCCGAAAGATGGAATTAAGGTACTGGCATGCAAGACCTGCCAAGACTGGGACATGTTCTCAGAGCCTGGTGTGATCTGGGCAGCCCTTTGGCTCCTACCCAAATTGCCAGCCTGAAGGAATGACACAGCGCCTTGGCTTTCCACCCCAGCCGGGCAGCTCGCTCCCTTCCAGGGACGGCCTCCGGGGCAAGATTACATCACGGCCTTGCATGCCCTTGCTTCCCCTCTGCCCGGGTGGCACCTGGCTATGGCACCAGGCACTGTGTGCACCTGAGGGTGGCACCGATCCATGGCCAACCATCGGTGCCCATCCCAGGTACGGAGACAACAGCAAGCAGCTCCTTGTCCAACTGATAGCTGTATGTGTGGGCTGCTCCAGGAGAGTTTGGGGTGTCCATGCACTGAGATTTTCATGTTGCAGTTATTTCTGGTTTTGGTGAGAGTCCTGTGCAGCATCTCATGATTCCATCCACAGTAGAGATGGAGTCAAAGCAGAGATTCTGGTCAGGCTTTGGCTTATCTCTGTGTTATTGAGACACAGCAAACACAGCAGTGCAGCCAGACACATCCGGATACTGCTGGGGACAAAGGCGGTGGGTGCCAGGCAGTAACTGTCCTACACGCTGTGTCCTTTCTGGTCTGTTGTGGCCTTGAGAAATAACCTTGTAGGGTGGCACCAGGCTGTCCATGATGCCGGTGCTGGCTGTGCCATCCCAGACTCAAGAATGATCATAGTTGGGTGCATCCATCCAACACTTGGAGATCTGTCCTGCAGGGTCTGCCTTGCCCATGTCCCTCTGTTCCAGCAGGCTGGACATGTCCCTTGTTCCTAGGCACAGCTGGCAGCCTCTGCAGGTATGGAGTGGGAAAAGTGTCGTGTGGGCGGCAGCATGCCATGTAGTGCCTGTGGGGACGTGTGTGTGGCCATCCCATTAGCCTGGGGACTGGGAGGGTCAGGGCCGGGTAGTGCCGTGTTTGCATGAAAACTAGGCTTAGATTTGGGGATCTGCAGCACAGGTGTCTCTCTGGTGTTGTCAAATGAGTGGTCACCTCCCCGTGATTCGCCCCAAATCTCTGCAACCAAATGGAGCTGGGGTGGTGGACAAAGTCTTCCCCCTTTTTATGGACACAGCTGTGGGCTGGGCAGCACGGCTTCATGGAACGGGACGGATCCTGCCCTGAGCCCTGTGTTGGGTAACACCTTGCCATGCGATGACACTGGGGACCAAGGGGTGGGGGCAAGCAGTTTCGGTCGGGGCAACAGCAGAGGCACCCAAACTAATGATCACCTGCACCCTGAGCTGCTAAGTGGAGGAAGTCTGTGATTAGTTGACACCTCCAGCCAGGCTTTTGAAATTAAGCCGGCATGGAGCAGGGGTGGATGACAGCTGCTTTATTCACAGCTGATATATAAAACGGAAAACATGGTCTGGGAATGGTATCAGCATGGTCTGGGAATGGTGTTAGGATGGTCCAGGTAAAGCATCACAGCATTTTGGTAAAGGTGGCCACGGAGGCAGGTGGTGAATGTACATGGAGTCCCTGGGAGTTATTTGGGCTGGGAAGGGATGATGGGTCTGGGTGATTTCCGCCAAATTGGTGCAATAACTGATCAGTTCACACCCATTTCATGATTTCACTCCGCTTTGTCCTTGCTGTGTTGGGTTTTGTTCTCGCCATTGTCCCCATGCTGGATCTGGGGGACCATGATGGTGATGGCACGCAGCCACTTCCAGAGTGGCAGAGCGCTGACGAGAATTCTTCCATCAGCTGCAGTGCCCGTGTGCGCCTCGTGTTGGCAGACAGCTGGGCTGCCCGGGGCGGCGGGGGGCTTTACTGAAGCAAAGCACGCCGCCTCAGCGTGTCCTGGCAGCGCTGGGAGCACGAGGGCAAGTGAACGACCCGGGCCAACCCCTTCCCAGTCCTTTCCACCAAAGGAACTCAGGTGTCCTCTGGGACAAGGGCAGCTGTGGAGCAGCCACAGATGCTCTCGGAGCACGGGGTGGCAGCTCACTCTCCTTCCTGGGGCCGCCTGCATCAGTGCTTTGGCAAAATGACCACCTGTGCAGAGGTACCGTGGAGCTGTGACTCCCTCTGGTGCCTGCGCAGAGACTTTTCAAGCAGCTTCAAGGATCTTTCTTCACACCGTGGCTGGAAGATTCAGGGTGCCCAGAGGGTGTTCACAGCTCTGCTCCCCCAGCAGCCCTGTACAAAGCTGGGGGGGAGGGCATGGAGTGGTTTTGGGGGCCCTGAGGTGAAGCTGGGCACTGCCTGCAGGTGGAGCTCCGTGCCCCAGGCTGGGTCTTGGAGGGAGGCTTGGAAGTGAGATGGTCAACCCCTGAGTGTCTGCTCCTTGAGGACCAGGAACAGCCCCCATACAAATGACAATGCATAGTCTCTGCCTGTTGGGAAGGGGATAATGGTAACTAATTCCTCATTAAGCTGATTGCCCACATGTATTCAGCTTCAAAGTAGGGAGGAAACCCCATCCAAAGCCAGGTGATAAAAAAGGGAAAGGCTGCAGGGAAAGCTGAGCTGTGTTGATGGGGTAAGTGGAATAGAAATGAAGATTTTTGTCCCTCCGGTGCAATTGCTGCAGTTTTTGCTACGAACTCACAGCTCTGGGGCTGTGAATGCCCCATTTGGCTGAAGAAGGCTCTGCCCCATGTGCTTGTGGGACCCTGTGCTGGTGATGTGCTGTATGAGGTCAATGGCAGCTGGCAGCTCGTTGCTCCACAGCCGGGGATTACACTGATCTCTGCTGTGTGCTGGAGGATTTGTGAGTCTTTGCTGTGTTGTTTTTGTTTTTGTTTTTTTTCCTGCAAAATTGGAGGTGTTTATTTCTGTGGTGGGAATGGGGGCATGTTATCTTTTGCTTTCATCCCTAAAATCTTGCAGGGGTCAGCGAGGTTGTGCGGTTTAGATGTACATAGTGAAAGCAAGAAGTAAACCAGAGTTTAAAAGTTCATTTTGAAAATAAATCTCTACAGGGCAGTGAGGAAGCAGATGTAGGCCTGCAAACTCCAAGTCCTTAACTGGAAATCCCCCTCTGTTGAGGTCAGACACTGCCCTGGCTCCTGGGAAGGGGGGGAGGGAGAGCAGCAAAGGAAGCTGTGCCATTTGGGCGAGCTGCTCATCTCCCTCCTGAGCTGGGGAGCCCCATGCGTACCTGAGGTCATTCATTAACTTGTTGGTGCCAATCAGTGCTGGTGCCCACCAAATCCTTGCAGCAAGTAGTCCGACCTCACCTGCTGCCTCTCACTGCTCTTGGACCTGATGGCGATCCCTCCTCCTCCAACATTGCCAGAGGACCTCGCCATTGTCCCCATGCTGGGTCTGGGGGACATGGGGAGCACGATGGTGATGGCACGCAGCCACTTCCAGAGTGGCAGAGTGCTGCCCCATCCTGCAGTTGTGCAGTGGTTAGCTGTGCCGCAGCTCACCTTTGGCCCTCTAGCACTCAGAGCAGCTTCTCACTGTGCTGCCACCATCCTCTGGTGGTGACACTGCAAGTGGGATAAACTCCTGCTCTGTTCCTCCAGTGATGAGGGCGTTGGTCAGTTGCCCACTGAGGCTTGCTGGGGCTCCGGATGCTGAGTTTCATTTAGTGACTCTGGAAACTCTTTCACAAAGTGAGCAGAGAGCACACTGCAGAACTGCTAGATTTTCTCTTACAGCAGCTCTGCAATGTGCTCTCAGTTCTGCCCTTTTGCAGTGTGTGATTCTATTTTTTTTTTTTAATTATTCCAGGTGTGACGTGAATCCCCTGGGGCTCAGAACGCAGTGCAGTGCTGGGTGAGGCTCACCTCCCTGTGGGTCACTGCAGGGGTCTGCTGAGCCCAGAGCCCATCCCAGTTTGGGTTCATGGCAGCATTGGTGCAGCAAAGCAGGTGTTGGTGCTGTGGGGCTTGGGGGGATCAATCCCTTCTTGTTGAGACGTGCAGCTTTTGGTGAGGAGAAATAAAGAACAAATTCCAGTGCCCCAGAGACGAAGTCATTGAATGATGGTTGATAGCCCTTCTCCATAGGGCTCAGGGGGTCTGTGCACGTGTCCCAGGAGCTTTCAGTCCCTGTGATTTCTGGGAGGCAGCGACGGAAGGGAGGAAGTTCTTATAAAACTCGTGGAAACAGCACGGAAAAGAGGAGGGGCCCCGTGGGTGTCGGTGCCGCAGTAGAGGCACAGCGGTGCGGTTCGTTTCCTCCTCCGTAGCTCGCTGGTCCCCGGTTTTCTCCCAGGAATGCTCTTCCCGTTATGGGCTCCGGAGGAAACGAAGCCCTGTCCCAGATGCTCTGCCTGGGTTTTCTGGGGCTTTTTCTGGCTTTCAGCTTCTTTCTTTTCAGCATCCCTTCGCGCCTCTCCGTCACTTGCCCACCTTTATCCCGTCCCCGGCCCTCCCCGAAACGGGCAGCAGGCGGATTCCTGCGGTTGCTCATCTGCATTCAGCCTCCTCCCCGGCCGGCCCCGCTCCTCCCTCTCGCACCTCCGCGGCGTCGGGAAGAGCGGCGTGTGGGGCCGGCGCTGCGCCTCCGCGCCTTCCTCGGCTTTGGGGTTATACGATCGTTATCGGGTTTTTTTCCCTCCTCGCCCTTCCCCCCGTCCTTCAGCCGGAGCGGCGGAGCCCGGCGGCAGCGCTGGGGCTGAGGGACGCGGGAGGGACGAGGCCACCGCCGGGGCAGCGGGGGCTGCGGGCTCTGCGCTGAGCGTCGCTGCTGTGCGCCGCCGTGCTCGGAGGGGGAGATGCCTCTGGAGGACGGCGGTGCGGCCAGGCGGAGCTGGCGGCATCCCTGCGGCGTCACCGGCTGCGAGGGGGCGCGGGACACCCCGCACCGGGACGAGCGGGCTCCCCGTGTCAGCGGGACGGGGGTGATGGCGGAGGATGAGGAGCCGTGGCCGGAGCTGGATGATGGAGATGTGACCTCTGAACGGGGAGAAGAGGCGTGCAGGGCCCTGCAGCGGGCGGGGAGTGGGGAAGCGCTGATGGCCGAGCTCTCAGAGAGAGTGCAGGAGGTGGTGCGGAGCAGCGGCTGGTGGGAGAGGCACGGCGTGGACATCTGCATCCTCAGCTGCAGTCTCCTAGCGCTGCCAGCAGGTAAGAGCCCCCCCCTCCCATGGGGGTCCCACTGCCTCCTCGCTGCTTTCACATTGGTGATGCTGAGAGCAAGGGACTTTGTGTTGGAAGCCTATTAGCAGCATGTTAAGCTGTAACAGAACTGCAATAAACCCTTTGCCCTGTGCTGGGGCATCCTGACCTCGCTGAAAACCTGCACTGTGTAACAAAATGGAACTGGGGTGGGAAGGAGCTGTGTGTGCCCAGCAGCTGGGCAGGGAAACCCGTGGGATTTGGGTGTGGATGCCCTGAGCAACGGTGGGTGCAGGGGGAGCTGGGCTGGACTTGCAGGGCTGATTCTGCTTTTGAACACCTGGGGCTGCTGAAATCATCACAGAACTGTCTTTGTCCCCAGAAATATCCTGTCCTAGATGAGTCTGTAAATCTATGTAGGCACAAAACTGCCAGCAAGTCTGTCCAACGTATAGAGTGCCATGGTTTTCACAGTGGGTTGTTCTCTCTTGCACACATCCTGGGGTTCCTCTGGTTTGCACCTGAAGCTGGGCAATCAGGGTGTGTAGGTTCCCTTGCTGGGATGGGGACAGCTGGGTGCCTCCGTAGCTGTGTCTGCTGCCATCGCAGCTGGGAGCTTAGCCACAAAGGGTGCTGTGCAGGGATGCTGACTGGCTCAGGCAGTTCAAATACCTGTAATTATGTCTGAAAAACAAGTTTAGGGCAGCAGTCAATGTGTTTTAGTGTGGCAACACCTCTCAGTCCTGGCTGTGAGTGGAGAAGTGATGACTGAGCTCCTGCCCCGGGCTTTTTCCACAGGATTTCTATGCCTGCGTTCAGCCCACACCATCCCTTTCCTGGTAGGTGTCCTCATCCTCGGCGTGGGATATCACACCCTGGCTGTGAAGGGCAGCCACCTGGCCAGCCACAATGCCCTGACCAAGTCCAGGTCCTGGGGCAAAGTGTGGGCTGTCTTCTTCATTGAGGTGAGTGTGATTTGATGGCCCCCAAAAAACCCCATCAGCACCTCACCACTGAGCACTGGGAATATTGCCCATGGAAGGGAGTGAGTGGTGGGGATGGTTTCTGCTCCGAGAAGAAATTTCTCCTAATACCCAGCCTGAACTTCCCATTGTGCAACTTAAGGCCATTACCTCTCGACCTTTCTCTCTCACCCAGTTCTGCTCAGCATTCACTGCTGAGCAGGCCAGCTACAACCACGTGAAGCTCCACCATGGCTACACCAATGTCATTGGCCTGGGGGACTCCAGCACCTGGAAGCTGCCTTTCCTGAACCGCTACATCTATTTGTTCATCGCACCGCTTGCTGTGCCCATCATAACCCCCCTGGTTGCACTAGGTGTGTGCCTTGGGCTGGGATGCTGGGCATGCTGAGCTCACTCACACCTCTCCTTTCTGCTGATGCTCAGAAATGCTTCAGAGTTTCTTTTGATCAAGAATTGAAATCTCTGACAAAAGCTCTCATTGTTTTCCTTTAATTTGGGTATTTGGCCGTAGCAAGGTTTGGGTGGGTGGGTCAGTGGTGTTTGATGTGTGCATGGGGGTGGGATGGGGCACAACGAGCAGACAAAGCAGTGACTTGGAAGAAATAATAATGCTGAGAAATGACTAAGGGAGAAGAGCCCAGGAACTACTGACAGGCTATTGGAGCACTGCCCCCTGGGCAAAGCTGAAAGTGGAGGCAGTCACTGGGCACTAGAGATGAGTATGCATCCAAATGTTATAGCTCGAGTGTCCCATCACCTACCTTAATGCTGGGATGGTGTCCTGCCGTAGGGACACCTCCAGCCCACAAAGTAAGCATTATGGTAGGGTCATGAGGTTGGAAAAGATCACTGAGATCATGAAGTCCAACCCCAATCCATCCCTGCTAAGCCATGTCACTGAGTTTGGGAGAAAGGGAGACAAAGAGCGGATGAGCCACCACCACATTCCAGTTCTTTCTCTTCCTGGCACAGACTTGCTGAGGAACGTGGAGACGAGGGCTGCTCTGCGCACTGTCTGCCTCGTGTCGCTGGGGCTGTGCTGCCATTACTGCCTGCTGCGCCACGTCTCGGGCTTCCAGTCGCCGTGGTCTGCCCTGCTCTGCATGCTGGTCACCCGCTCTCTCCTGGCCCACCCCTACATCCACGTCAACATATTCCAGGTGGGAATGAAGCTCTAAGAGGTCCCAGTGGTGCTGGGCATCGAGCCTGACCTTGCAGACTGTCATCAGCTCATGTTGAGCAATCCTGGCTGTAATCTCCATTGTGCTGATGTAATGGGAACACTGCAGGGGGAAAGGGGAAAGCCAGGCTGGTGGAGCAGGAAGGGCTGGGTGATGTCTCTGTGGCCTGTAGGGATGGGGTGTTGGTGTGTTTTGCATATGGAGATGCAGCTCCTGGGCTGGAGGGAGGAGGCTGGCACAACAGCTTGGGGTTCTGCGGGGGCACAGGGCCAGAGGGAGGTAGATCTGTGTGTGCTGTGGGCTCACGGATAGGAGGGTGGAACGACCCAGTGTGCCTCTCCTGCAGCACATCGGCCTCCCCATGTTTGCAGCCGATCGGAAGCCCAAGCGCATTCAGCAGATGAGTCTGGGTGTGCTCAACCTGCCCCGCAATGCACTGCTTGATTGGTGCTTCGGCCACTCGCTCATCAGCTGCCACGTGGAGCACCACCTCTTCCCCAGCCTGTCTGACAACATGTGCCTCAAGGTGAGTCAGTCCCTGCCACAGCATGGTGTAGGGGTCCCTGCCTCTCCATGTGGGATGCATCTCAAGCACCATGCTAACTGTTATGATTTCACCTGGGGTCCATGCTGAGCTCCAACAGTTTTGATTGTGCCCATCCTTGTTGCCTCAAGGGATGCACTGAAAATTTGGGATGCTGCCCCTTGACTGGAGGAGATTCAAAGGCTGGGATCTCCCTCCCGTAACACCTTATTTTCAATCTAATTTACGGATGAGAATGAAGCTATTGTGAGGAGGCTGCAGTGGGGGCAGTTCACGTCACACTGGGGTGGGTAGGAGCAGCCTCTTGCCCCTCCCGTCCCCATCACATGGGGATGAACACAGGAACAAGTGGGGCCAACCCTCATTAAAAGCCTCGTTGAGGAATCCATCCTAATTCTACAAAGGCACGTGCCCTGTATTGCTGCAATTGGATACCACCTTCCTCTTAATTTTCACAGCAAAGCTGTTGCAGCTGATGGCTGCCTCCTTTGGGCAGGGCCGTGCTCTGGCCCAGCTTGCAAATGCAGAAAGTCCCTTTGTCTCCACAGATCAAACCTGTGGTGTCGCAGTACCTGAAGGAGAAGCGGCTGCCCTACAATGAGGACACCTATGGCTCCAGGCTCCAGCTCTTCCTGCAGAAGTATGAGGAGCTGATGGTCCACGCACCGCCCATCACAGAGCTGGTGGGCATCCAGTGAGCTGGGGCTGACTGGCTGCAGGAAATGTTCCTCCCGGTGTCCTGATGCTGAGCAGCAGGCGCTGTGCAGGGACTGAGCGGGGGTTGTGCCCCCCTGGAGCTGCTTACAGACAGAGTTCGGTTCTACCCGCACTGCTTTCATGCTGGGGGAGGGTGAAGCAAAGCCCCATCGGCTGTGTCCTCGCTGGCAGCAGCAGGTGGCAGGGCTGTGTCACCGTGTGCTGCCCAGGAGTTGTGGAAAGATGCTGGGGGGGCAGGGGTTGTCACTGCCACTGTGCTTTACCTGGCTGGGATGGGGGAATCAGTCTCTTCTGGGAACATGGATTTGGTCAATTCAGCCCAAGGTGTTGAAGTGGATCTTTATTTCTGCTTTTTGTCATTGGAACAATTAATGTGGGGATCCCACATGGGGGGCTGTGGGGCAGCTCTCCAGCCTGGGCAGTGCTGGGGATGCTCAGCTTCTGCTTACAAAGGAGATTTCTGGCCCTGTCCTCAGCGCCGCCGCTTTCTGCCCCTTTTTGTGGGTGCTGCTACTGTAGGGATTGGGGCAATGATGCTGAAGGTCCGAATGTCCTCTGAAGCTGTGGGAAGCTGCTCTTCTCCATGCAACTGTGCGAAAGGAGCATGCAATGAAGCACAGGGCCAGCTGCCTGCCACAGCAGGAACCAATTTCCAAGATGAGAAAGCATGTGGCTTTTACAACCCTTATTAAAACTAGCTTCTAGCGGTGAAATCAGCCTTAATTGCTTTTAAAAAGCCTTTTTAGTGCTTGTCTGTGTGCCTTGGCAGCTGTACAGCCTGTAAGCATCTTCTGGGCCCGGTGCTGGGCCGGGCACTGGGGCTCCTGCTGCCCTGTGTGAGGGAATGAGAGGGAGATGAAATGGTGGCTCTCGGGCTGGAGCAGCTCTGTGCTGCCGCATCCTTTGCAGGGATGCTGTGTGTGCTCCGGGTTTGGTAGTACGATCTTTACTGCACAGGACGATGGTTTAGTAACCCGTCTCTGAGCTCTCCTTCTCCTGGACACCTTTGCAGCTCATCGCTCTCGAAAATAAATAAAGGCCATTCAGAGCCGGAGCTGCGCTAACCGCGCTTCCCGCCCCGCCCGAGGTACCGTGGAGGCTTTACCCATAGAGAGGGCCGGCCAGAACGGCGCCGAGCCCGCCCTTCCCTCCCTTCCTCTCTATGCCTCTTCCGGCCAGCCGCACGCCTCCATTGGCTCCATTGCCCGCGCCGCGGGGGCGGGTTTTTGCTAAGTACCGCCTCGCCATTGGTCGACGGGGAGGTGGCAGGCGGGATGGGACCGGGCGGCGCGTGCTGGAGGGGCGGCGGGGCCGGTGAGGGTCGCGGGGGGAAGCGGGGCTGCGCTGCGGCATCGGGGTGCGGGGCGCCGGGAGAGCCCGGGCTGCGGGGCCGGGAGCGCGATGGAAGAGCCCGGGCAGCCACGTGCCTCGGGGGTCGCCGTGAGGGAGCGAGGCGGGGGGGCGGCTCCGGGAATGCCAAGGCCGCGGGCTGGGGGGCGGTGCGGCTGCGGCCTCGGGGCGGCTCCGCCTCGGGTGTGCCGGGATCGGGAACGGGGCCGCGGGCTGCGCTCCGCCACCGGCGAGGCGATCGATGGCGGCCCCCGCCCGCGTGGGTGCGTGCTGCGGGGCGGGGAGCCGCGGCTCGGCCGGCCTCAGCTGCTCTGTCCCTTCTACCCCGCAGGTCTCCGGCGCTGGCTGTCCTCGCGTGCCCCGGCCCCGAGGATCTGCGTGGTGGGCAGCGGCCCCGCGGGGTTCTACACGGCTCAGCACATCCTGAAGGTAGCGGGGCCGGGGCTGACGGAGGGGTCTGGGAGCTCCGGGGATGTGGGAGCGGTTCTCCTTACTGCAGCTTGGAGCAGCCCTGGCCCTGCGGAGTCATCCTTTCTCTGTAGGGATGGGATGGGCAGCGCTGCCCCTGGGTCATTTGGGCCAAAATACAGCCTGGCCGTGTTGCTGTGAGTTATGACTTGGTGATGCCAAAGGATGAAATGCCTCCCTATGTGGACAGTCTGAGAAAGCTGGGGCTGTTCAGCCTGGAGAAGAGAAGGCTCTAGGGACAAGTGAGAGAGGCCTTCAGTATTTAAAAGGGGGCTATAAGAGAGGAGGCAGACTCTTTAGCAGAGTCTGTTGTGACAGAACAAGGGGAAATGGTTTCAAACTAAAAGAGGGGAGACCTGGATTGGATATAAGGAACAGTTTTTTACAGTAAGGGTAGTGAAGCACTGGCACAGGCTGCGCAGAGAGGCGGTGGATGCTCTTTCCCCGAAGATGCCCACGGTCAGGCTGGAGGGGGCTCTGAGCAACCTGATCGAGCTGTAAGTGTCCCTGCTCATTGCTTTGGGGTTGGAATAGATGAACTTTAAATGTCTCTTCCAACTGAAATGATTTAAGAATTCTATGACTCTTCTAGAATCAAATAACCAGCAGAGATCTGATTTATCTAGAGGTGTTGCACACCAATGCAGGTGATGTCCCCTGCCTTCCTGACTCCTTCTCCACTTGAAGTGGGGCAAAAGGGTAATCCTTTGCCCTGTAGGTGTTAGCGCTTGAGCTAATCCCTGATGGGAAATGAGACTGAAATGTAAAACTGAACTGCCGGTACCGACCAGAGGTACATCACCATAACCCCAACATTAAACTGCGCTGTGATGTCTGTGATATATTTTGGAAATTAGCTGTTAGTAAGCCTCGGGGATAAATTTCAGGGCTGCCTCATCTCCAGGAAGAAGCTGACTAAAAATAAAAGATAGCAAAAGCCTTACAGCAAAACATCTGTGTAAAGCTCTGGCCTGAACCTGGAGGTGACTCAGCTCAGGGTGCCCTCAGGCTCTTCTCACATCTTAGCCTGGTGTGTTCACCAGCACAGAGGGGGCTGTGTTTGGTGCCCTTTGCCCAGCAAAGCAGCCACGAGGTCAGCATAGAAGCAGGGCTGTGGGATGAGAGTGAGGATAGAGCCCCCAAAAGGTACAGTTATCGGCTTACATTCTCTGTTGCATCTTGCAGTCTGAGCTGGCAGGATCAGGTAATGGCTTGTGTGTAAACAAGCTTTGAAGAGTCTGGAACAGGATGACTTCCCTTCTATTCACCAGTTTCTGGCTACAGGATTTTTGTGCAGCACTCCCTCTTACCCTGCATTTCTCCCAGCAGTGGGCAAGCGGTGTGTGTCCCTCCTGAGCTGCTGGGCTTCATGTGGCCTTTTTATCCTCATTCCTTAACCTTTACTCTCCTTTAGCACCATGACCTGGCACAAGTGGACATCTATGAGAAGCTGCCTGTTCCATTTGGGCTCGTCCGTTTTGGAGTAGCACCAGATCACCCTGAAGTGAAGGTCTGTGCTGACTTCCTTCCCTTGCCCATGTGTTTGAACGTGGTGGTGAGTGCAGGCCAGGCAGTTGGCCTCATGGCTCGCTTTGATCAGGGGCTGTTGTGCTGGAGTAGTCCTTCAGTGTTTTCAAAGCCTTAATCTCTTTGCCCATACTGAGGCTGTGGCCTGGAGATAGACAAGAACTGGCTTCAAGGCTCTGAATACAGGGTCAGAAACACAGAGTCTGTGTGATGGCAAGTGCTGCTCCAAGATTGGCTCCCTGCACAGTTCAGACTGGCCTAGAACAAGAGCAAGGAGCACTGGGCTGCATCAAAAGCAGTGTGGCTAGCAGGGCAGGGGGATGATCTTGCCCCTCTGCTCTATGCTGGTGAGGCCTCTTCTGTGAGGTGACCTGATAGCAGCCTTCAGTATCCAAAGGAAAGCTACAGGAAAGAAAGGGACACACTCTTGAGCAGGATATGTGGTGATAGAACAAAGGGAAATGGTTTCAAGCTCAAAGAGAGTAGATTTAGGTTGGATATAAGGAAAAAATCTTTTACGGTGAGGCTGCTGAGGCACTGGAACAGGTTGTACAGAGATGTGGTGGGTGCCAGAACACTTTGTGCTGATGGATATTGCCTTCACTCCTGCAGTGCTGCAGCACTGGCACTGACTGCTCCTCTTGTGCTCTGCCCTAGCCTGAGTGTGCTCAGACTGTACTCAGTGTCAGTGATTGGAAAAATGTGAATCTGCTGTTGGGATGATGGAGTTGGGATGTAGGTGCATACCTGAGTGAGGAGAAGTTGAATCAAGGAGCTCTTTTAAATCAGTCATTTTCCTTTGCCTTACAGTGAGTGAGAATTGCATGGGGAGATAGATGTTGTATCTGAGGTGGAGGTGGTTGCAGTGGGAGGACACAGGAGATCCAGATACAGCAATATTTTGTAATGGTTACCCCATTTAATCTCAGGAGATTGTCAGACCAAAATGCATGCATTTTTGATCTGAAAAATGGGAAGTATGGGTATAAAGTATGTACATGGTTTTGGGTAACTGTTCCATTCCACTGTCTCTGTCTGGTTGTACCAGCAATGGTTCTGCCGAACTGCCTCAGTCACTCAGAAGAAAGGACTTGGACTGCTATCCTCCTTTGGGGTAGTGGCTTTCAGGAAGACTTGAAACCAATAGGGTTTGGCAGGCAGCGCCATGAATGGAAGGAGTTGTTTGACAGGGCTCCCTTGCAAGCCTCACCTTGTGAAGGGGTGTTCTCCTACAGGAGGCTTTACTCGGATGGGGGCTGAAGGTATTAAAATGGTCCCGTCTCCTCCAAGTGGGTGCAAAAAATAGATATTTTTTTTCCACAAGGGGAGGTGGAAACTTTGCCAAGTTGCCTCTCTGTTTGTCTCACAGTGAGTTAGTTATCTGTGAGTGCTGATAGATAAGAGCCTCAGAATAACCAAATCAAAGACAGGGAGAAACATTTCAAGGCTGAGAGGAATGGGGACAGGGACCTCCTGTCAGTGTGGACCTTGGACCAGCTGTGGTCTGAACATAATGTTGCTTGTTTGATCTTATTTGATCTTGGCAGAATGTGATCAACACGTTCACGCACACTGCGCGTTCAGATCGCTGTGCCTACTATGGGAATGTCACCGTGGGCAGGGACATCACGGTGGGAGAGCTGCAGCAGGCATACCATGCCGTGGTGCTGGTGAGTGTGGGTGGGCAGCCATGGAGTGTCCTGGCAGCAGCAATTGCCAGTAGGGCAGACTTGTGTTTCAGTATCAAACCCTGCATGTGCCAGCTTTTCTGACTGTGTCTGTGTTCTTAGAGTTATGGTGCTGAAGACAACCAGGTTCTGGGGATCCCAGGGGAAAATCTCTCTGGGGTTTACTCAGCCCGTGCCTTTGTGGGCTGGTACAATGGACTGCCTGAGAACCGGGATGTGAGTACAGTGGTTTGTTTCCCTGTCTTTCCCTCCCATGCTGTATCTGATTGCTGACATCCAGCTCCAGATTAAATCCCAAAAGGCCTGCAATTGGAAAAGATTAGCAAGAACCACATTAAATCCTTCTTAGATGGTAGAAATGTGAGCAATTTGCACATCAGTGAGAGCAGATTAACTGGCTCTGTAGGTTGGCAGTATTTTGGCCAGGCCACACGGGGACCCGCGGAAGGGAATTTGGGTGGTAGCCATGGGATAGGTGTCATAGAGGCCTGGTGAGTTTGCTCATTGAAGGGCCTTTTGCTCCCTGCAGCTGAAGCCTGACCTAAGCTGTGAAACAGCGCTGATCCTGGGCCATGGCAATGTGGCTCTGGATATCGCCCGCATCCTCCTTTCCCCACTGGATTTCCTCAGGGTGAGTTGGGGTGCCATGAAGGTGGAGAGTGACCCAGAGTTGCTCTCTGCAGGGTGGGTGCTGGATTTCTCTGGTTTCAGCCAACTCTTAGGAGAGAGAGATCTGTTTCTGCTGAAAATATACTTCCTGAGCCCTATTTGCCTTTGGGCTCTTTAACCAGGGAAAGCTCTTGCCCCACAATCCATAGGGTATGAACAAAAGTATGGAGCCATTCTAGTACCTAAAAAGTTGAGCTTTATTTCCTACAAGAATTAAAGGAGGAGCTCCTCGCTCTTTTCCACCACCAGACCACAGGCTTCTCCTGTTTGCTTCTTTTCCTGCTGTCGCTGTGGGCAGCAGCCTGGCTCCTGATGGCAGCACTGGACACACTGGTTGCTGTGTGCTGGTCCAAGCCAGTGGACATCTTCTACTGCTGTGCTCCCCTACAGGCAGCTGGTGTACTTTAGCTGCTCTGCACAGCTGCTGCCCCAGATGTTAGCAGCAAGAGCTCTCCCTCCTGGAGAGCTGCCATGAGGTTGGTTACAGCTGTGCAGCAAGTTCCTGTATTAATGTCTACATTAAACAAACAAACAAAACAACAATACAAATTGGCAAAGAGTAGTAGTTCTTTGAGTTTGTGCTTCGAGCTGCCCGGATCAAGCAGGCATTGATTTAAGCAGTGTATTCTAGGGGTGCCACTTAGGTGTTTGTATATCCTGAAATGGGAAATGACCCAACAAAACTACAAGCACTCCAAAATAAAGATCACTGGAAGGCTTTGCTCTGTTAGACCCATGGTTAACTTGCATGTGGTGAATGGCCTGGGGCAATCTCATGAGGTGTTGGCTCATTAACTCTTGCATGGTGTAGCCTCAGAAAGTACGTTCAGTGATGAGGGTGTAGCTGTTCAAATAGCTTTGTGCAAAGGCGGATGACCTGTTTTCCATCCTTGTCCAGGTTCTGTATGTACAGCCTGATTTTCTGCTGATTTTTCACCTTCAGAGGCTGTGCCTTCCTCTTGTTCCCTCCAGATCTGACCCCATCCCACTTTCCTGTCACATGTCTTTGTCTTGCAGAAGACAGACATCACTGACTGCTCCTTGGCAGCTCTAGCCCGCAGCAAGGTGAAGCGCGTGTGGCTGGCTGGGAGAAGGGGACCTCTCCAAGTTGCTTTCACTATCAAGGTAAGGCTCTCGCTCTCTCTCTGGAGAGGGTGCTGGAGGGCAGTGTTTTTCTCAGAGTTGGACCCCAGGCTGCCCTTCTGCAGTGGGGAGAGGCAGTCTGTCAATGGATGTGTGAGACTGGGTGTCCTAGTTCCTGCAGCCATTTGCTGCCTCCCAGTTCAGACTTGCCTGGGGCTGTTGGATGGCATCTCTGCATCAGAGGTAACATCTCCCTGCCTGCAATTCCCAGGAGCTGCGGGAGATGATAAATCTGCCTGGTACCCAACCTGTCCTGAACCCCGCTGACTTCACAGGCCTCGAAAATGCTATTAAAGGTGAGGAAAGTGTGTCATGTTCCTCCAGACAGGGACTCACCTCGACAGACAAACATTCGAGAGTGTTCTGGAGGTGCTCAGAACGTGCATCAGAGAAATTCTTATCCTGTGCATGGCATGTGAGAGACAGGTGGTGTGGCTTGTTCTCAGAGTGATGGGAGGCCTCAAAGAGCAGAGAGCAGCCTATTTCTCTGCTTCCACAGCAACATTTTTCTTGGAATATAGTAGCTGTCTGAGTGATGAGGCAGGAGGTTTGGGATGGCTGAGAGAGCCTTGCATGAGAGGTCTCAAGGCTTTTGATTTAAAAGCTTCCTGCAGAGTGAGAAAGAAAAAACACTGAGCTCAGGGATGTCCAGAGACTTGCTCTTCTCCACAGGCTGCTGCCTCTGAGTGCCAGCAGGACAGCAGCATTACAAGCTTTGATTTGTGTGTCCCACTGGCCTCAAGCCTCAGGAGCTCTCCTGGTCGCTTTGACTTCCCATTTGTCATCTCAAAGGTGCTGAACTCCCTGCTGCATGACAAACTCCAAATGGACATTCACACATCACTGAAAACTGCCTTGATGTGGCCATGCCGTGTCCTGAGGGGCTTTGCTGACATTCTTTTCTGACCTGAAGGTCTCTCTCTCTCTCTCTCTCTCTCTCTCTCTCTCTCCCTCCCTCCCTCCTTAGATGCCTCCAGGCCCAGGAAAAGACTGACTGAGCTGATGATCAAAACAGCCCTAGAAAAACCCAGGGAGAAGGCAGCGATGGCACAGGCAGCAATTCCCCGGCAGTGGGGCTTGAAGTTCCAGCGTAGCCCCCAGGAGATGCTGCCCACCACTGATGGGACACGGGTGAGGGGTGTCCGCATGGCCCTGACCCGCTTGGAGGTACGGCTTGCAGGGGTCCTCCTGGATGCCAGACTGGCCATAGCAGTGCCGGGGATAGAGCACTACATCCCCGTAGCCCTTGGCAGCTGTTATCTATAAGATGACTTCACAACCTCTGACTGTTTGGAGAGGCTCATGGTAGGCTGCCTTGGAAGCTGGTTCTACCACCGAGAACCATTCAGTTTTTAAAGGGAGCTCTTTCCCATCACTGCTGCAGAAGGGCCTTTAGCAGTTACCCTGAGGATTAAGGGTACCTGAAGTATCTGGTGCTCTTTGTCTGGTGACTTATAGCCAGCAGCCTCTTCCCTCTCTCAGGGCTTAGGTGACTCTGCCAAAGCTGTCCCCACTGGAGACATGGAGGAGCTGGAGTGTGGGCTGGTGCTCAGCAGCATTGGCTACCGGAGCCTGCCCCTGGACCCAGCAGTACCTTTTGACACCCAACACGGCATTATCCCCAACAACTTGGGCAGAGTGACGGGTGTTCCAGGTCTGTATCTACAGTCACCTGTGGATGTGTGTGGAGCATGGCTGGTGTGTTGAGAGCTTTAAGTTGGGAAGCTTTGCTCACTGAGGGCACCAATACATGGCAGCTGTGCAGCGGAACAGAAAATCAGCTCCTTCTGTCTGACTTAAAAACCTGTCCCAGTCCCAGCTAACATTAGAGGCATGCAGTTTTTAACAAACAGCTCTGAAGGACATGTTTATTTTTTTGTTTTATTAGGCCTTGGAGTCTTGTTACTGAAGCTGTACAGCCCATTTGGCTGGTTGGTGCTAGTCTGGAGGTACACAGATTCCTGTGACACCACTGTCAGAGCACTGAACTCTGTCCCCAAAGTGGGGGTGTATTGTGCTGCTGTCTGCAGCTTGATGTGACATCCAAAGCTGGGACAGGGCAAGAACCTGCATCCACGAGGGTCCATGGTCATGTGCCAGACTGAGCCTGGCTGCTGTGTGTGCCCATGCAGGTCTGTACTGCAGTGGGTGGGTGAAGAGAGGACCTGTGGGTGTGATCATCACCACCATGAATGACAGCTTTGACACTGCCCAGTCTGTGCTGGAGGATCTCCAAGGGGGTGTGCTGGATGTGTCCATCTCCAGAGAAGGTTTTGGGGCTGTGGGTAGCATCCTGCGTAGCCGAGGTGAGTGTGTGTCAGCCTCTGTAACAGCTAGCATGAAGCATGACGCAGACAGATCCTGGATCTGGGTATCCTGGGGCAGTGAGTCCAACATGCCACCTTTGGGAGCCAAGTAGGGACATGGGTTGTGCTGCTATTTTGTTGCTCCCAAGTGCGGGGAGAGTAGGATTCTCTGAAAATCAGCATCATTGCTGTGGTTAATGACTGCCTTCTGGGAAAGGCCATTAAAAGCAGCATGGGCCATGGACACAGTGTCACTGTCAGTGGTGTAGACAGTGAGTTATTGCTCTTGAATGGTTTTCCTAGCAATCCTTCCAGGCAAATTGGGGAAAAGATTAAAATGCCCGAGAGAGTCATTTACTGCTGCAGTGTTTAAAGGCATTCAATTAAAGTGTGTGTTTGCTTCTTAACTGTCTGAGGCTTAACAGTGAACTGGAAGTGTTTTGTAAGTGTTTTGTCCCCTAAGGTGGTGCTCTGCTCACTGTTGTTATGGCTTGCAAAGGTCTGACTAATCAGATTTGACTGGAACCCGCATCTCTCTCCTCCTGGTGCTAGGAATTATTATTCCTGTGCGATGCTAAAGTCTGACGCTGTGTTGGAAAAGAGCAGGGTTTGCTTGCACATCAGGTCCCTGCTAATGGGGAGGTGAGGCTGAACTCATTTTCGCTTGGTTGATGTCTCAGTCCTGTCTCTCACCATCACCCCAGGGATCCGTCCTGTTTCCTTCTCGGACTGGGAGAAGATAGATGCTGCCGAAGTGGCAAGAGGGAAAGCTGCTGGCAAACCACGTGAGAAGATAGTAGATCCTCAGGAGATGCTGCAACTGATCGGTCACTGAAGCTGCAGAGATGGTCCACACAGTGCTGTCCAGGGGCAGCACCAGGCTGGTTGCCGACCTGGGAATGAACGTGGCACTGAGGACCTGGTAACAATGAACTCTGCATTCCCTGAGTGAGTGACTCAGAACAGCTGAGGCTGTGGGCTGGCCCCACATCTCTGCAGCCTAGGGGTGATTTGTGTTGTGCCTGAGTGCTTCTGGCATTGGCAGATTGGCCAGAGCAGGTGAGATGTGTGCTTGGCAGGAACCTTGGCCTGACATTACACCCATGGCAAGAAGCACAGAGAAACTTTCTTGTGTCTTGCTGCCTCCCCTTTAAGCCAAATGACTTCATTGCCTTGTCATTCATGTGTAAGCAGGCTTTTTTTTTTTTTTTTTAAATAATAATTGTTTTAAAATAAACCCTTCCAGGAAAGACAATTTGGACCTGCCACTTGAGTCTGGCTCCTTTGTGACTGCCTTGTTCTCAGGAGCTGCCAGCTGGGTGTGTGTCTGCTGCAGCTTGTCCCAGGGACAGCCAGCTCTTCTTGTAGGGAGGGACTGTTTGCTGCCTCCCTGCTGGGAGCTCTAAACCAAACAGACAAGGGCATTAATTTGCATTCTGCCTTCCACAATTGAACCCTGGCAAGGCCTGGGTTCTAGCTTGTGGGGTGAAATGGGATAACAGGTGTGTAACTGCCTTGTTTTGGATCACAGGAGATCCGTGAATGTTGGTACCTGCTGGAGCTGAATCATGCAGCAGTGCCTTGCTCCCTTCACTTTGCTCGCTTTTGGTTGGGATTTTTTTGCCTGTGTTTTGAAGCTTATTAAATGCTTCTCTTAGCCTAAATTGACCGTGGTGACGGTGTCAGGATTTAAGCCAGATTACAAGCTGCGAGCAGTAATCTCCTCTTTATCCGTGGTGCAGAGGCCAGGCCAGCACAGCCCCCTCCCCACTGCCACCCACGCTGTCCCTGACCACTGCGGTCACCTCTGTGATTGGAGCTGCTCCCAGCACTGACCTGTGTAAGCAGTGAGGACGGCTCTTGCTTGTGGCTGCATATAAAAACAAACTGGGCTCCGCGATGGAGGCGGGGGGTAAATCGAGCCAGGGCAGATGGCAGCGACTGTCTCAGTTCCACACTTAGGTGCAATCTTCTCCACATTCCCTCCTGGGTTAAAGGATTTACCCCTATCCTGGTGCTGTGTGCCCATGCCTGTCTCTGATCCCAGGCTAGGCAAGAAAGATCAGTGTCTTCTCTCTTTTTATCTGTATTTTTTTTCCCTTTTCTATTTAAATCTTATTTGCAAGATCATTAAGAAACTCAGGAAATGTGGTACTGGGAGCTCGTACGCAAACGAGCAATAAAGCTTTTGCCGAACATCTGCTTGTGTGATGTGGCTCTCGTTACGTCTCAGGGCTGATGCCATCCTAATGCTGAATGTTCAAGCAGGAGATTACATCAGCTCTGGGTTCAGAGGCGAACAGGCGCTTTGGAACTGGGGGAATGAGGGTGAAGGGCTGTGCAGAGAGCCAGAAGTGTGGTGGTGAAGGGGCTGTTGTGGCTGCCTTGAGGGTATGGGGAAGCAGTGGGCTGGCTCTTCCCCGGAGCTCTCTTGCACACTGCTGTGAATGTTGATGTTAAGCTGCTTTTGTAGCCGTGGCACAGGTTGTGGTGCTTGCTCTGAGCACAGCGAGTAGCTGCTTCCAGGCAGATGACGCTTTGGGATAAGTTTTGAGCTGTGATGACAGATTAAGGGGTGAATCTTTCTTTGCTGGACCCAATGCCTTAGTGCAGAAGTTGGCCGAGACCCTGGGGTTTGTGCAGGGCTGCTGACAGCTGTGGGACAAAGTCAGCCAGGGCACAGATGGAACCTGATGGCCGGCTGAAGGATCGTGACGATGGTGTCAGTCCTAATTCGATACTTTCAGCTGCCCCTTTTCCTGCTGCTTGCTCGCCCGTACCCCAGGGGGCCGCTCTGCTGCATCCCCATTTCTGGGGCTCTCCATCCATCTCTCTGGGACTGCAATGCCTGTGGCTTCCCGGGAAGGTCCCTGTCCCTGTGGCCGCGTCGTTAGGTGGCGCTGAGGGGCCGGTGATGGGGATCGAGAGGGGCTGCTGGGGCTGGGCGGCCGTTCTGCCCGCCTCGTGCTCTGGGCAGCTCGGGTCCCTCCCGGAACGGGTGCTGCTGTTCAGCAGGATTCATTCTGCGGCTGTTTGCTGCACGGTGTCGCTTTCAGTGCTGCGTGCCTGCAGTCCCCGGGCTGTGTTCACCACCAGCAGCACGTGGACCCAACGTCCTGAGCAGCCGGGGAGGAGAAGCGGCTCCCGAGCCATTTCTGCAGCGGGGAAGGAGCCGGGCAGGCGACGCTGTGAGCGACAGCTGTGTGCTGCTGGAAGGGAGCCCGGGGAGCTGAAGTTACACCTCGGAGATCTCGCTGGCTTTGCTAAGGGGCTGCTTGCTGAAACTGGCCTTCTAAAATGAGCACCCAGAACACAGGTGGTGTAGTCCAGCGGGAGACACACCAGCTGGGGGCAGGTTGCTGGCCTGGCAGCAGGGAGGTAAGCTGCCACTTAGAAACCAGCTCACACCACCAAGGAAAACGTCGGGAAAAAAGCCTCTCAGCAGCGTGGTGAATGGACGAGTCCCACCCCGGGGCTGCGCCTTCCCAGCCCCGCAGAGCCGCCGGGCTGCTGCACCGAGCCGGGCTCGGCTGCTGGCGAGGAACAGATGGCTCCGCCGCGCTGACCTCAGCGCTTTGGCCCAGCACAGCTCCAGCAGCGTTCTGAGCCTCGGGGAGGGGCTCCTCGTCTTCTCTGTGCTGTCCCCAGGTGGGAGTGGGGCCGAGGTACCCGTTTCTGGGGTTCCCAACTTCCCTTCCCCCTGCACTGAGGGAATGGGTTCCTCTCGGCTCAACCTCATCCCTTCTCCAAAAGGACTCCATGTGCATCCTTGGCCCCAGAGCTCTCAGAGCACCCACATTTCCCCTCCTGCCCTTAAAGTGTTCCCACTGCTCTGCACTCCCATAAGTTTTCTGAGAGCCTGAAGCAAGAAAAAGGATGAGATGCCCCACAGGCACTGTGCCACTAGAATGCACCCATGCCATTGTCACCACTGAAGATGCACTGTCCCCATAGCCATGTGGGGCACCTGCACGGGGTGGGAGGATGCCCCCACTTGGGGTTCATCTCTGTGGGATTTGGTGCTGTGAGCTATCCTGGGGCTGGAAAGGGAGCAGAGATGATGAGCTCGTTGTTCTGTCTCTGGGAAGGGCACAGCCGCTGCCCCAGGGCGTTGTTTAGGGACGAGTGAGGCAGTTGTTGGAGGGCGAGGGTTGATTACACCCCAGGAATGAGTGATTTCCTCACTTTCTGGGAAATTTCCACTTCCAGCCTCTGGGGCAGCCCTGCAGGCAGCCGCCACCTGGGAGGAGGAATTATCCCTGTGGTGACAAAGCCCTCCCTATTTATTTCAGTTCCCTTAATTACCAAGAGGGCAGGATGTGTGGCAGCAGAGTGAGGCCATGGTGTGTGCACAGCCCCGTCCCCACGGCCTTGCTCCCCCTCTGCCACCTCTGCTTCACTTTCTGTCTCCATTCTGTTTTTGGTGGCCGGGATCAGGGCAGCAGGCAGCTCGGTGTGGGTACCAAAGCCCCAAATGCCTTTAAGGGGCAGAGCAGTGATCCCACGCTCTTCGCACACATTCCTTTGTTAAATGAGCCCTGGGATGAAAGGATGAGGTTGGTTCCCAGTTTCAGCAATGGGTGGCTCAGACCGCCTTACTTTGGCCACACTTCTGAGGGAGGCTGGCAGGAGCAGGACAGGCACAGAGCTGGGACCAAACCCCAGCATCCATCCCACGTGCCACCCTCAGGGCTCAGGTGATGGCGCAATGTTAAATGGGGTTCAGCAGAGGGACCCACGGCTGTGCTGCTGGGGCTGCTGTGGGGTGCAAGGAGTCTGCAGTATGCATGGAGCAGCTTTGTCCTCCCAAAGCAGCCCTCCTGTGTTTCTGCAGCCCTCCCTGCAGGATGTGGCTGTGCACCAGGAGCTGTCAGCGCACGCTGCGGGCAACGAGCGGCACGCAGAGCCTCCTGCAGAGCACACAGCGGGGAAGGTAATGGGGAGAGGGGGTGCTGTGGGCTGAGAACCTGCTGGGGTAATGCACAGCGGTGTGGGAGGGGAAGGAGAAGAGAGGGGCAGGCAGCTTTGTGCCCTCCCAGCCCAGCAAAAAGGGGGGGAGCGCAGCACACCCAGGTTGGACGGTGCTGAGTGGGGAAATGAGAGGTTTTCTCTTGGGAGGAAATGTCAACCTGTGCCTGGCAGGGCTGAGGGCTTCCTCCCAGGGTGCAGTCGGTGCTTCTGTTCTGTTCTGACCTTTATAACCACCAGGGTGCTTTTCTGGAGGGGAAATGTAAAAAGGATTTGTGTTGTTATTCACGTGTTGAAATAAGGTGGTTTTGATGATTGTGAGACAGTGCTGTATGCTGGGGCTGTTACAGAACCTCAGGGCACAGCCATGGCAGCAGGTTGGGTGCAGGAATTCTGCTTTTTTAACAGGAAAAAGGAATGTTTATTTTATTTTAATACCTTCAGAGGAGAGAAAAGACGGCTGTTAGGGTGGCATGTGTGGCACTGTAGGCCCATCCCTGAAGGGACCAGATGTATCCAGCTGTTCACTGTGCCCAGGTGGGTGTGTGAGCCCACGGAGGGAAAACAACCCATGGGATGGAGATGGGATGGCGTGGGAATAGGGCTGGTTCCTGTGAGAAGGACCAGCTTTCCATCAAGGCCCAACCCAGCCCTTGGTGAAAGAGTTAATGGCAGCCGGGTGCCCCTTCTCCTCTGCAGTGCTGAAACCAAGGGTGACCCTTGCCTGTTGATGGGCAGAGGAGAGGAGGCAGTGACCTGTTGCTCAGCCTCCCCTCTCCTTTTCCTGGAGCACGAGAGTGGCATCATGCCCACACCGCGCAGGGGGCTGCACACGCCCCAAGCCCTGCAGAATCCTCACACCTTGGAGATGTGAGCAAGCTGTCCTGGACACAGCCAGGCTGCTGCTCATAAATGGGTTAAAGCGAAGGCCGAGAGGAAAACACAATTTCCATTTGTTTTGGCATCACTTGCAAACCCCAGGGCCCCTGGCCTTGGGCAAAGGCACACGGAGGTCCCACGCTCACTGCGAGCAGCAGGACTGGCGTAGGCTAAAGCCTCTCTGGAAACGACCTTTCCATGAGGAGACTGGGCTGCGTTTGGTGCTGGGGGAGCACTTGGTGGCACGGGGATGTGACGGTGCTGCAGGTGACTGCGGTGCTGGTGTGGGGGGTGACGGCCATCCCAGTGCCATAGGGGTTTCTCTCAGGGGTGGCCGTGTCCCCGGGCCGGGCACCTCCACCTCCACAGGTGCCACGGGTGCTGCAGGCAGTTGGTGCTGTCTGGGAACCCAGCGCCCAACCTGAGGGCAACGAGACCCCCTGGGGTTCTGCCCATCTCCCCCTGCCTTTGCCGGGACTCCCCCTGCTCTCCCCCCGAGCAGTGCTGGGGATCAGCTGATGCCTTAATACGGGCCCTGGTGACAGCTGGAGGCTGCTGATGCCGGCGGGGGCTGCGCTCCCTGTGCCCCCCTGCGACGGATGGGGGCCCGGGGCTGCTCCGTGCTGGCTGGGGGGCACCACGATGGGCAGCAGGACGGTTCCCAGCGGTTAAGCTAGCAAACGGCTGGAAGGTATTGGGGGTGTACGTGTTTAGGGGGGGACGTGGGTAGTCTCTGATTCTTTCTGTAGGTGGGCTGTAGGGGGACAATGTCCGGGAGAGGAAGGGGTCCTTGCCGTGGGCTGTGCCGCTTTGCAGTTTTTTTTTTTTTTTCGTGGGGGAGCTTTGCTGCTTTGGCTCCTCACGCCCGGAGCACGAATTTGGAGGGGGGACTGCAGCCAAGCGGCGAAGTTGCGGCTCGGCAGAGGGCAGGGGCCGGGAGGACATATGTCTCGTCCTTCTGCCAATCCCTCCTTTTCCTGCCCTCCCTTCCCGTGCCCGCATCTCTGCCTCCGTCCCCGATCCCCGGCCGTCCCGACCCGGCTATGGCTACCGGGGAGCCGCGAGCATGAAGCTGGGGGCAGCGGTCCCCTTGGAACACCTGCTGGCATTGACTGAGCTCGGCCCCCCCCGTCCCCGTGCGCACCCACCCCTCTCCCTCCTTCCTCCGCTCCCATCCCTCCCTCCCGCCGCAGCTGCAGCGCTTCCTCCTCCTCCTCCAAGGACGAGTCTGGGACCGACGGCCGGACACCCCCTCCCCACCCCACACCCCCCCCTTCACCCTGGCACCTCGCACCCCACGGCCGCAGCGGAGCCGAACCTTGCCCTGGGGCTGCCCCGGGCGGGGGGCGGCAGCGGGAGGAGCCCCCGAGAGCGGAGCGGGGCATGTAGGAGCCGGAGCGGCGCTGCTCCCGTGAGTACCGGGCGGACTGGGGGGGCCGGGCCCCCGACGGGCTGGGCAGGAACTTTTAGCGGTGAGCTGGGGTTTGCTGGGGGGTCTCCTGGAAATTTCACAGCCGCATCTCTCATCATCTCGAAATGGGGATGGGTCTATTTTACGGGGAAGCGCAAAAATAAGCGCACCTTGCATAACCCGCCGCTCGCTTTTGTTTTCGGTTAATCCACATCCGACTTTTTTTTTTTTTTTTTCTTCTTTTTTTTTTTTTTTTAAACTGCGTTTCGGTGCGTGCGGGGCGCGCCGGGCCCTGCCCGCAACTGGTGCTGCGAGGAGGAGGAGGGCGGCGCGGGATGAAGGTTGAAAGGAGACAGCGCTGCGTCTCCGGGCAGCCGTAGGGGACGGTCGGGGCGGTTTTTGCTGTTGTCCCCCTTCAGGGGCTCACTGAGGTCCCTGCAGGGCTGTCCCTCACTGCGCAGCACCAAACGCGCTTCCCGGCCCCATCAGTGCCCCCTCATCCCCACGCGGCTCCGCTTCGCGCTGTCCTTCCCGGCCTCTTCCCGCTCGCTGTGGTTCTCGGGCTCCGATGCTCTTTTTGAGATAAGATTTCTCTTTCTCCAGAAGGATTTTTGCAATTCGGGATTTTT